TATATTTTTTATTCTTATTTTCATATAAATTATATGCAAATATTTTACATATCAATTGAAAGTTTCAATCAAACACAGAAAAAAATTTTTATTTCAAGCTAGCTCAGACTCAATACCCCATCTCATATTAGGGGTGTAAAAGAGTCGAGCCAACCCAGATTTGAGCTTGATTAATTAATTGAATTCGAGCTCGAGCTTTATTCTACGAGTTCGAGCCATCTTATTTATTACGATAGAGATAAAATGATTATGATTTATGTAAGAAAAATAATAAAGAATTACATAATATAAGAAATTGTGATATAATTTTTAAATATTTTTAATAACATTATATTTTAAATATATTTTATATTAATATTTTTTTAAAAGGGTTAGCTCATGAGCTTAGTGAGTAGAGTTAAAACTAGTTCAAATTTGACTAATTAGCTCATCAAATTCGACTCACGAGCCATTTATCATATCAAGCACAAACGAGCTCATCGAACCGGCTTGGCTCACTTTCCCCCCTATGTCCTACTCAGTTGCTGGAAAGTTGAATGCAATTTACTCCATTCCTGCATCCCTTTAATCTCGTTCTGATTTGAACATAAAATAGTCACGCAACTGTGATCCTAAAAGCCTACTCTCCTTCCAACACACTGTTTCTCTCTAATAAAAACAAGCCAATGGAGATGGCAGAAAGCAGTAACATTGACGAGATACGCACCTCAGAGGTCTGAAGGAGCAGAAGCCTTAGTTGCAGAAGTGATGGATGAGATCGGTAGAACTGACTGAAGCAACCCCTGTTTGATTGACACATACTTTAATAGCCCAAAAAGAAGGGAGTTATTCAGAGCTCTGCTTTTGTTTTCCTCTGATTCAATTCGGGCGCCCTTCTCATGTCTTTCTTTGATCTTCTTCCCCTTCTTCACTGCACAACCTTCTCGCCATGTACTCACCTCACCTTTTTCGGTACTTGTCGTCTCTCTCATTTTCTTCTTCTTTGCCATTTTTTTTCTTTGTTTTATGGTTTCTTAATCTTATATTTGGGTTTCAGAGGCATGGAGAATGCAAGGAATGGAGGGCTCGAAGAAGCTGCTGGTGGATTTCACATAGGCGACTCTGTGCTTGACCTCAGTCGAAGTAGTATACTGTTTATGCTATTCAAAATCGGATTTTTACTATTTGACTGCGTTTTATGATTCGTTTTTTGTTTGTTTCTTGTCGTTGGTAAGGCCCCATTCTCAGTCCCAGGGCGTCTTCTTGCAATCAGTATGGCGGCTTGGGTAACGTGGTACTAAAAAAATCTGAAATATTCATTCTTTAGATTGTTTTGAGTTTTTTTTTTTCCTTTTGTGAGATCTTTTGATTTTTGGTTTTGCAGAGCGTTCAATCTTTGGAAATGGGCGGCAGGCTCTGCTTTCAAAGGGGAAGTTTTGAGAATGGGGCTGATTCCGGCATGGTGGTTGGAGGTCTCAGGGCGGATGGCATGGACCCCTTTGATAGAATCCGTGAGGTTAGATATATTATTTATTTTCAATTGCTTGGTGGAATGTGAACACTTTGCGTTCGGTTTTGTGTTGTAGCTGGTAGATGAGAGATTTACCGGCGGCAGCGGCGGCGAAGGGGCCTTTTATGGTGGCGGTGGAGGTCGCGTGTCTGTAGATTCTTCTGCGGTGTCTATGGAGAAAACAGGGGATGATAAAGTATGTTTTTTTGTTAATTTCTTATGGAGTTTACTTTATGGTTAGCATTATTTGCCTCTAAATAAGTAATTTGCATAGTGCAGATTATCCGGCGCTTAGCACAGAATCGGGAGGCGGCTAGGAAAAGCCGGCTAAGGAAAAAGGTGAGGGCTTTTAAAATCCTTTCTTTGGAAATGCAGATGCTCTTTTAGTTGTTTTGCTTTGCAGTTCTGCAGAAATAAGCTCAATTGTTTCAAAAGCTTGTATTCTGCATTCATCTTTGGAGAAACTATTAGGTAGGTTTTACAAAGTGGGTGATGAGAGGAAATATTTGTGGAAGAGAGAGTGCATATCTCAGCGTGTGCTGCTTGTCACCTTATATTTACTCCAGAAGATTTTTTGATGTAGACAGCCCAACAACTTTCAAAATTTTTATCAAGTAAATTAAGTGCTATCAACACATATTAAAGGCTGCTTTGTACTTTGGTATTTCCTTATGTGGTAAGACAATTAATGTATGACATATTTAAGCTGAATTGGAAATCATGGCAGCAATTGCATACTTTAATGGCGTACTGCCCCTTGTATTTAGATGAAATAAGAGTTGAGTTTGTGTTTATTTCCTTAATGATGGCCCATCCATGCTCTTTATTCTCTTCTATCTCTATCCTTTTTGTATCCTTTACTCTTGCACTCCAATTTTTTGCATCTCTCCTTTTTTAAGATTTTCCTTGAGATCTGATTACCTTTCTGTTTTTCTAGCTATTTCATTATGAATCTCTTTACCATTTTGATTTGATAGTTAATGTTGCAAAAGTGGGTTGAGGCTAGCCATGGTTGGTGGGGCAACACAACCAACATTGGGTTCGTTGGAGATTGGTGTGGGGCTGGCCGATGCGGCTTGCAATGTTGGTTGACTAAGAGTTCATGTTTTGAAAATAATGAAACTAAATAATTTTTTTTGAATATTTATTTTTAATACTCAATTTATTTTTCAAATATAAAACAAAATTATTGAAAGAACTTAAAACAAACAAAAAATTTGAAAATAGAAATAAAAAGTGATGTTCAATGGCCTTTCATTTTTTTTATCTTAGATGGTTTGTTCACATAAAATGTTGGCCTTTTGATGACCCTATTAGTGTTGCAATCCGAGAACCCGATTTTGTGTTTTTGATGATTATAAACATATTTAGTTTTTTATTTTATTTTCTCCTATTTTATATATTGCATACATTTTTCTTGTGTGCTAATAACATTTCTAGTTCAGTATACACTAAGTACCATAAAAAAATAAGAGTTGAATTGTTGAAGAAATCATTGTGTTGATCAATTACTTTTTGAAAGAGTATTTTATTTTTCTTGAGTATATTTTTTTAATAGATATATATTGGCTTAGCAATCATGCGCACACACACTAGGGAGAGTGAAATTAAACATTATAATTTTTTTTATGATCGTATTGGACTTTCTTGATTGTATTGTACGATTCATGCAACCAAAAAAATAATTAAATGTTTAATCAAATGTGGTTAATTTGTATTGGGCTATAATTAATCTATTGTAAAACCACAACATCGTACAAGATGTTCAGCTTTATTTGATATCCCTGATGTGATTTAAATTAAGAAATAATTTAAATTTTGAAAATTTTTTGGATTGTACTATACGGACTAGTTTGTACTTTATTATGTTTAAAATTTTTGCCTAATTTAATCTCTATGATTAAGCAATTGAATCTGGATTAATTAAGCTTGATGACTGTAATGTGCGGTCATGATCATACTTGAGGATCAACAAAGCAACCCTTTGGACTATAATTAATCGTCCATGGATTTGTACATTATAAACTACTATTTGATTGAATTAATAATACTACGATTTTAGATCATAAAGCAGAGGTTGAATTAATCATATTGTACTATATGAGTGTCGTTCTGGATGAACAGAAGCGACATAATTGTAAATTATAAATTTTTTAAAAAAGTTATATATAAACTCTTTATAATTTTAGAAGAGTCTTTAGGTAGTCAATGATTTATGTTTCTTTTGTGATAGAGTTTGGAGAGAACATAGTAATGGAGAGGGATAAAATTCTTGATGGATTTAAGTGCGAGTGAGAGGGATTTTCACACGGTTGCTTCGGTTGACATGCACTTGAGGTCCTCTGGGCTTATTGTTTTGCCTCTTGAGATAAGTTTTGTGAAGGAAGGACTTTGGGGCCAAAATATCGTCTGCAACTCTGCTGAACCATGGCGGTGAAAGGACTCGACGACTTTACCGAACCAAGGAGGTTAAACGAGGACACAGAGATTCCATTGTAATGAGGAGGTGAAAAAAGGACATGACGGTTTCGCTAAACCAAGGTGGAAGGACATGGCAGCTTTGCCGAACCAAGGAGGTGACTTGAGGGATTCTCCATGTGTGAAGAGTATGTAAAGGTGCATTTTTTGCATATGGCAAGGGAGAAGGGCTTTTTTGCCTAGCTGTGGGTTGAAGGAGAGACATTGTGTTGGTGCAATTCCCGAGGAGAGAACTTCGAGTGGTGGATGTTGGTCAAGTTGGTCGAACCATTATAAAAATCAATTTACAACTTTATTTTTCGCATTTACTTTATATATTTTACTTTATTGCAATTATATTTATAGCATTATGGTTTGATTGTGGTTATATCTGTGAAATAAGTTTGCTGTGGTTAATTTTGATTCATATTTGTGTTAAAAAAATTGTTTTCTACAAAATTTAAAAACAAAAAATTGTAATTATTCTGAATTGTGTAGTGAGTTGATCTATATTGTTTATTCAAAAGCTTTCGCATGAAATTTAAATTTGACTTTTTATTCAAAAGGTTTTTGAAGAAATTTTCAAATCACCACCAATACACCTCTCTCTTGTTGTGTCATTTTCACGTTCAATTGGTTTCATAGCCAATTATTGAACTTTCAATAGGAGAGGAGATGCAGTAGATCCAGCCTATGTTAAGATAGGTAGAGCTAGAACTAAAGAAACTTGGTTATAATGTATTAGAAATGATTTTTTTATTAAATTTAAATGAGGATTTAATTCTTAATAAAACACAATAGAGAAAAAAATTTCATGTTGTCAGCTCAATGTAGTGGGATAAAAGCTTGTTGTTATTGTTGTATTATTTTGTTTAGAGAGAATATATTACATTTTAATTTAATACACCCAATTTAATAAGGTATTATGTAGAATACAAAGTTCTAATTGTACATTCTCTATAATTTGTGTAATTACATGATTAAGTTGTTGCAAGGATCTTATTGACTTATATTTTTTAATTCACAATATATAATTCAATATTATATCATAACTTCGACAAAATCAATAAAATGTTAATTTAAGAATCATTTTAAGAAATATTATGAAATTTCACTCCGTTTATAGACAATTTTTGAAAAAAATAAACCCTGAAACATAATTGTATTTTTTTAATCATTTATGTAATTTTTAGAATTTAATTGTTATGATTTGTAACCCATTTTTCCTTAAGCCTACTAGTCATTTTGTGGATCACCCTGCTTAAATATTTTTTTCAATCTCTGTCATGTCCATTTAAATTATGATTGATTTGTATCCTCCTTTGCGTGATTGCATTTTGACAACATGACTCTCTCTTGGGAGCACCTCTCGTGGACTTCTCTTGAGGATACTTCTTGTGAAGGCCCCTCAAAGAAGCTATTTGTAAGTTTTTCTTTTAGGAGACCTTTTGAACAACAGCTAAAAGTCCCATGCTTCACCCAATGATTCTCTTAAATCATATGTTTTGAACACAATTTGTAGAATCATTTATTATAGATATGTCTAAATATAATGTGTCATGTCAATAGGTGATTTTGCACATATATTAGCAAGTAATGCTGTTAGCCTTATATTGCAATAATTGTCAAAGTAAATAATGCTCGCTTTTATAAGTATGTCTGAGTCTAAAGGGCATTGCTGTCTTAAAGGAACTTGCTCATTTATTTGTATTTATTCTCGGCCCTCCTACGAGAAGGCATTGGGATTCTAAGTCATTATTTATCGTTCTTAATTAGCTTATTGTCTTGAACAAATGAGTAATAAGGTTGGGTTAGCATTAATGACTCGATATAATTGCTTAAGTCTGAAATTAGTTTTAAACTAGGTTTGGGCTCTATTGAGTCAGCTTAGGATAGAGTCATGGTCATAGTGATGGTGCTTGCTAGTTTGTGATTTTATTATGTTAGTTAAGATTGAGTTGATTTACTTTGATGAACCCAAGCAAATTTGATATCATAATTCCCTTGACCTTTTAGGTGGTCAATAATAACATGATTGATCCTAATTAGGATAATCTCACAATATGCTTAATCTTGTCTTAAGGGGTGATTGAATTTTATTCTTTCAAAGCTATGCTTGACCAAGAAAGTTATTTGGAATTTAAGACAATGTCTATCCTTCTTAAAAAGTTATGTTATGTTAACGATTAGTGATTATTTTTTGGTCTATAAATAGGATTGGGTTAGTTAGCTTCCTAGAGTCAACTTAGGATAGAGTCAAGAACGTAATGGTGGTGCGTATCAATTTAAGTCAGTGTTAGATTAGTCAAGATTGCATTGATTTAGTCTGAAAAACCTAAGCTTATAAGTTTTCAAATTTTCCTTGACCTTTTAGGAGGCTAATAGTGGCAATATTGTTTGACTTCCCCAAAAGCGTAGCATGATAGTTCATGCCTTAGAATGCAAGGTTTTTAAACTTGTAATGTTTTTTTCTTCAAAACTACGTCAATCAAGATTATTCTTTAAAGGATGAAGTTTTGGGGTCTTTAAATTGCACGTATTTGTCCAAGGGTCTAGGGGGGGATGCACAATGAGAAAAAAAATTCTTTGAAAAAATTGAGGATTTTCCATAACATATTTCAATCAATACTAAATTCAAATGCTTTATTATCAGTTATTAAAATTTACAGCCATGTTGTTAGAATAGTAATTTTTGTTTCTATTTTATTTTAGCAATTTCTCACCATGAAATTATTAAAAAATTGTTCATATTTCATTTTTTTTTATATTACACTTTAATTTTTCTAATTTTTCAGAGATTCAATTGTGTAATGTTTCAGAACATGATAAATATGATTTCTAGTGTAGTAATTATCTGCTTGTAAAGTAGGCATATGTTCATCATCTCGAAAGTAGTCGGTTGAAGTTGATACAACTAGAACAGGAGCTTCAGCGAGCACGCCAGCAGGTATTTTAACTCTTCTTAGCCATCATTTATCAATTTTGTTATCAACATTTAACTCCATTTTCCTTGGTTCACAGGGTTTGTTCAGTGCTAGTGGTTACCTTGGTAATCTTGGCCTTTCAGCTGGAATGAATGGTATATTTGCTTAAAATTTCCACGAATTTTAGCAATTCATGTTGTCAAAATTGGCATCAAACTTAGAATTTGTTTGGAACGGCTTTCTTATTGCTTTTCAAAGTAGCTTTCTAGTACAAAATAAAAAATTTTGTACTAGAAAGCTGCTTGGAGAAGCAATAAAAAAACCGTCCCAAACGAAACCTTAGTTGTTTTCAAATTAGCGTGCAAGAAACATAATTGATGTTTAATGCGTGTGATTTTGTTTTCCTAACTTAGAAGTTTGATGGAGAATCATTGCTTAGGTTTTTCCTTGGCCAGCTAAATATGGAAGTCTTGATTAACTTGACCATCATTATCATAATTATTCAAATTATTGTCAGAATACATATACTTGAGTTACCTAATTTGTCCTCCTTTTATCTTATCCATCCTAATACTTAATATTGTGCTGAAAGGTTATGATAGAGTTATTGGTGCAGGATTTACTTTAGTCAGGCATTAATTTTTCATTCGCCAATTACTTAACAAACCATTTTTTTCATCACAAAGACTAGTCTGATAAATGCAAATCCATGTCTTCTCTTTATCACCTAAACACTTAGGCTTCGTTTGGGATGGCTTTCTTACTGCTTTTTAAATCAGCTTTCTTATAAAAAATTTAAATTTTTGTACTAGAAAGATGCTTTAAGAAGCAGTAAGAAAGCCGTCCCAAACGAAGCCTAAAACTCTTGAAATTTTGAGTTTACTAAGCAAGAAATGAGAGAACATATGAATTTTTTATGCTTAGAAATGTTGGAGAGCATATTACAAATTCTAGAATAATTTAGGATTTTATCCTATAGTTTACAATCTTTTAAATTCCATGGGAATTCGCTTACAAATTAGGCATTAATTTTTCATTCTTCAATTACTTAACATACCATTTTTTCACCAAGTAACAATCAGTAAATGATTGGTTCTATTAAGTTTTAACGTGCCGAACATATAGTCTGCTAAGATCACCAAAAGTGCCACAGCTTATGTTTATGTGATGAGAAATTTTACAAGTTGATCATGAATAGTTGATTGTCCTTAAAAACAATTTAGGTGCCTTGGCATTTGATATGGAGTATGCTCGCTGGTTAGACCAACATCAAAACCAAATAAGTGATCTGAGATCAGCTTTTAATTCTCAAGCAGATGATGAAGAACTAAGACTTATTGTTGATGGTTTAATGTCACACTATGATGTTCTCTTCAAGCTCAAAAGCATTTGTACAAGGTCTGATGTCTTCCACATGCTTTCGGGCTTGTGGACAACACCTGCTGAAAGATGTTTCATGTGGCTCGGCGGTTTCCGTTCCTCTGAACTTCTCAAGGTGATTTCAACTTTGCAGTACCTTTTCTTAATGCAGTAACATATCTCATTATCAAACTTAGACTTTGTTTGGGATCATTTTTTTCCTACTTCTTAAAACAGCTTTCTAGTACATAATTTAAATTTTTTGCATTATAAAACTGCTTTTAGAAGTAGTAGAAAAGCCATCCCAAACAAAGCCTTAGCATCTTCATTATTCATTGTGAAATAACAAGCAAAATGGCCAACAAGAACAAAAAATCATCAATGAAGGAACTTTAGTGATCAATAGTTCACTACAATCAACAACAATATACATAAATAACTCAATTGTCTAAGCAAACTAGTATTTGCAGATGCTTGTGAGCCACCTAGAGCCATTAACAGATCAGCAACTTATAGGCATATGCAATCTCCAGCAGTCTTCGCAACAAGCTGAAGATGCTTTGTCTCAGGGAATGGAAGCTTTGCAGCAGTCTCTTACAGATACCTTGTCACCTGCTTCTTTTAACACTAATCCTTGTTCTGATAATGTTGCTAATTACATGAACCAAATGGCAATTGCAATGAGCAAGCTTGGAACACTTGAAAATTTCCTTCGGCAGGTATAACCTCCCAAAAATCTGGGAATATTCTTTTGCTGTGTTTTTTTATTAAATTTTTATTAGTTTATGATAGGAAGTACTTGTAGATCTCAAGTATTTCCTATCAATTTTTGAAAAATAGCGAGCTTTATGTACCAAAATTCATGCAAAACCAAAAAAACAGTAGATAATTTGTATTATTTGATAAAAGGGAAACGGAAAATAACAAGATACAATTAATCCTCTCTTCGAGAAGAGGAGGATTGATCTCTCCCAAATCTCTAGACGCCGTTAGAGCCCAAAGGAAAACCTAAATCTATGAGATTTCAAATTTCAGCCCAAATTCAAGATGCTTTAACACTAGGAAAACAAACTATTTAATGAACACAAATCAAAAGGAAATCCCTAAACAGTCCTTACATTCAAATTTTTCTCCCAAATCCCTCAAAAATCCTTCCTAAATTGCTCCACTTGGGCGTTTGGATCGCCCAATCTATGTAGGAGGCGGAGATCCTGCCTCTGTTGCGTTGGGCTAGTCCCGTGCGGCCCGGTTGGACCGGTCCAACGGTTTCTTCACTTTTTGCTCAACTAAGCCATGAGTCAATGACTGATACTAGCTTTACATGACATTTGCTCTCTTTTTCAACAGAAACCAGCAAAGAATCTTAAATTTGTTTCTTTAGAAATATTCACAAAATTAACACTATAATAAGTGAAGGAAAAAGCTGTTGCTTTTATTGGTTTCATCAAGAACTTCTGGGATTAAAGATTTGGCTATCTTTTGTGCATCTGAATATCTCTATAAAATTTCTTTTTTGTTGTACAAATAGGCTGATCTTCTGCGGCAGCAGACATTGCAGCAGATGCATCGAATACTAAGTACTCGTCAAGCAGCTCGAGCCCTTCTTGCCATCAGTGACTACTTCGCTCGCCTTCGAGCTCTCAGTTCTTTGTGGTTGGCTCGACCAAGAGATTAACAGCAAGATGTATATTCAAGCTAATTGTGTTAAATTAACTAGTAGAAAGTACTTGAGTTTACTTACAGTAGCCATTCTGTTCCATGATTTGGAATGCGAGGGCTCTTGATTGTTAGTTTAGTTGCTGTAGTAGTAAGTTTTATGCTGTTGGTGTTATTTATTTAGTGCCACTGCAGTTTCCTTAAACTTTAATCAGCTACCATTATGGTTAGAGAGAAGAGTTATTGTTGTATGCTTTGGCAATTGAGTTATTATTGTATATTGTTGTTGATTGTAGTGGACTATTGATCACTAAAGTTCCTTCATTGGTTCTTGTTGGCCATTTTGTTTGTTATTTCACAATGAATAATGAAGATGCTTAGGCTTTGTTTGCGATGGCTTTTTTATTGCTTCTAAAACTTATTTTATAATACAAAAATTTTAAGTTATGAATTAGAAAGATGCTTTAAGAAGTAGGAAAAAAAAACGGTCCCAAACAAAGTCTAAGTTTGATAATGAGATTTTATATGTTGCTTTGTCACATATTTGGACTAGATTAGAAGGTAAGTGGCTTGAGTATGATAAAACAAAAGATTGCATTATTTTCATTTTTTCTTCTAAGAGAAATAACAATTGAAGGTAAATGGTTTGGTGTACTAAAGAGATAATCATTGCATGAGTAATGGATGTAATCTAACATTCATGAAAATTGTGTGGAAATCAAAATAATGTTTGTGTTTGATATGTTAATTGTTGTACATGTTCATTTAAATAATTTTTGGTGGAATAATTACATAAAATTTAAATTAATCACACATTTAATGAATTATAATTATAATATTTGGTGATTTAATTTAAAGATTCTCTTTTTTTGGTAAGAAATTTATTACAAATTTGATCATACATCATAATTTCATCACTATTTTGTACTAAATTCTATTTATTCAATTAATTTTGTTGTAAATTTGTTGTAACATAATTAAAAAATGGCCGTTAAATATGAATAGCAACTAAATATCAATGTTTCATCAATAAGTCATAAATCTATTTCCATCACATCAAACTTAATAAACAACAACGTTGATATTATAAAAAGTTATCCGCACTCAGACGATTAACTTATAATAAGCATTTTAGCTCCCCTAAAAATCGCCATTTTAATAGATTCGTTATCATTATCATGATCGTTGTGAGTGAGTGAGGCTTTTCTTGCAGATATTATGTGTTTGCTTAGCAATTTGTGCCATTTGATTATTAGAAAAAGAATTGAAGGTAACTTTAGGCATCTGCTTTATGCCTCTAAGGAGACGTTATTTTGTGCGGATACCGGACTGGAGAACCGTCTAACACCGCTTGGTACTGGGCGGTACTGAGCGTGGTACCGGCGTTCGGTACTGAATGCGGTACATTTTGGACGCATTTTTATTAGTCTCTAGATTATATCCGGATTCTGCACATAATAATTTCTCCCCTCTTAGAGCCTTTTGTTTGGTGAAATTATTCTCTGCAGAAATGGTTGTCGTCCGGAGGCGAATCAAAACGAACAACATCACTCATTTGATGGGTACTGCGGTTGGGTATCGCTGTGTATCAAATGACGTGGCGATTCCTAATTCACCTTTGAATGCTCCGGTGCCCACCCAAAATAATTTCTCCTTTGTTTTCCGCATGCCATGAGTAGCTCTATTGAATTTGGAGTTTGTCACGGGTTGTTCTTCCATACACTCGACTCTTGAGCCTTTTTCAGAGTCAAATGCAGCTTTTATTTGTATCAGCGTCAACATCACCCTGAGAACTTGAGTACCTGACTACTCTCCACATCTTTCATCAAAGCTATCAATACAATCATGTAAAGACAAAACATATATAATTTCAAATGTGATAGTATCTTTTATTTAATGGCGTATGAATCATCACATTGTGTGAACATGCATCAATGATGAAGAGTAGACCTTATGGTCTTAATTCTCCTCTATACATGCTCTACATGATGAAGAGTTAAAGTCGACCCCTCATTGATAGGATAATATGTTTCATTAGCGACTTGAGTAGAGGTCAATGCTCTGCTTTCGAAGAGTCTTCTTCTTCTCACCATAGAATTAGAAGACTTCTTATGCAATTCCACTCTATGAGTGGTTCTTGGGATTCTCTTCACTACTCTTAAATCATTTAAGTCATCCTCTCATTGAATTCAACAAGTTGAGGGGCAATCACATATTCTTGATTTTCCATATTAATAGTTTCTTCGCGTCTTTTTAATGTTGTTTTGCGTCGCATAATACCTATCTTCTGGTTATTAGCATGCTCTATGTTCATCATACTTTTGAGAATGTTGAGTTCAACCCAATGATATTAGGACACTGAGTAGAAGAGAGCTGATAAGTTGGTTGAGAAAAAAATTACAGACAAAAAGTTATGATATTCCTAGTAAAATAAGCCTCAATATAGGAAATTGGATTTTAGAGAAAATTTGAGTAAAATTGCATAAATTGAGCTCACCCATCGACCTCATACTTATATTTGAGTTAGGATTTTTAGTGTTATAGAATTTGCTACATACATAACTATATAGAAAATAAATGAAAATATATAGCCTTAATAAAAAAGTTCGACTTGATCTGGTCATCTACAGAGTAGTTGAGTTGGTGATTAATATATAGCCTTGAGAAGCCCCCATCTATTGATTTGGAATTATTTCCTAATTGAAATAAGCTTTTATTTGGAAGGCTTTTAATGACCCATTATTGTAATTAATTAGGGAATAAATTATTTCCCTAATTAAATTGATTTGACATGAGATTTTATTGATGTATTAATTAGGAGATCTAATTATTGCATTAATTAGGGATTTGATTGGATATTTGATTGACTCATTAATTAGTTATTTGATTGGGAGTTGATTAGGATTAGATTAAGAAGCTTTTTCCTTATTTACTTTGGCTCAAATCTATAAATAGGGCCATAGGGACTATTGTATTGTATGCATGAGATGAGAGGAAGAGATAGATTGAGCTCATTGTAATCCATATTATTCTCCAATTTAGAGAAATCATCATTTCCTCTCGTGCACGTAGGCATCATCGCTCAACCACGTAAATCACCATATTTCTTGTTATTTTGTTGTGTGAATTTTGTTTCCATTGTGATTGTTTGCATAACAACTGGTATCAGAGCCGAATTTTAGTGGGATTTCCAAAGGCAGTTTGAAGAACTAAAGTAAATCTTTGAGACATGATCTGGTTAGATCGAACAAGAAAAGGTTGTTAATTTTTTTAGGATTGATGTTTAATTCGTTTGGTGTAATTTTGATGTCGTAAGGAAGTTAGATTTTAGTGGAAACGATGAGATCCGGTGAAGCCATGGCTACATCTAATTGTTCTATAGAGAAGGCATCAATTTATCAGGTGGTTACACATCCCATCAAAATTGATGTGATGAAATTTGACTGCAAAGGAAACTTTGGCATGTGAGGTGACGGATGCATTGTGCCCTTTGAATATGGATGTTATTCTGGATGGCGATGGACATCCTGAAGAGATGTCTGAAAGATATTGACTCAAGATGAATCGGAGTACTTATGGCTTGATCAAAAATTGCCTATCTCAAGAGATCAAGTATGGAGTGATGATGGAGACTTATACTGTACTGAAGCTATGGAAGACTTTGGAGAACAAGTATATAACGAAGAGCATGGAGAATTGTCTTGATATGAAATGGTGGCTCTACAAGTTTCAGATGATGTATGAGATTACAATTGATGAGCATTTGAATTACTTCACAAAATTATTCACAGATCTTTTGAATCTGGATGAAGAGGTTGTAGATGAAGATAAGATGCTCCTTTTGTTGAATTCGATGAGTAAGAAAACTTCACTATAATGCATATTCATGGGAAGAAGATCTTGAACTATGTTGAGGTTACTATTACATTGCTGAATCACAAGTTTCGGCATCAGGACAAAGAGTATGCAAAGTTGGATTCACATGAGACTCTCACACTCCAGCGAGGAAGATATGAGAAACATAATAATAAAAAGGATGGCATCAGCAAGTGAGGCAAGTCTAATGGACTTAATCTTGGGAAAAATTAGTGTGCTTTTTATTTGTAGACTGATCATTGGAAGAAAAATTACCCAAAATTAAAGGAGAAGGAAAAAGGAGTTTCCATGGAGGCAAATTTTAGCATGGAAGAGCATGACGAATATTTAGATGTATCACTATCTGTAGTATCTCGGAGTTTGTATTTAGATGGTTCATGCTGGATTTTGGATACTGGTGCTACCTATCGTATTTGTCCCACCAGAGAGTGGTTTTGTACCTATAAGAAACTTGATATTGGGATTGTGACCATGGGAAATGACCAAGTTTGTCATACACTTGGTGTAGGGAGCATCTTCATCAGAATACATGATGGTACTGTAAGAGAGTTGATTGATGTGAGACATGTTCTATGTATTTGGAAGAATCAGAAACCAAAGTTATTGAGGTAGGAGTTCTGAAGATATATCATGAAGCACTTATTTATTTGAAAGAAGTTCATCACAACAACCTTTACTACTTTCAGGGTAGAACAATGATTGGATCGACTGCTGTTGCTGATGATTCTTCTGATGCTAATCTATTGTGGTATGTGCAGCTAGCTCATGCTAGAGAGGCTTCTTTTATGGCTTTGGTGAAGCAATGATTGATTAAAAGAGCAAGCACCTGCAAGTTCAATTTTTGTGAATGTTGTGTGTTTGGTAAGAAGGCACGTGCATCCTTTGATACTGACATCCACAATACAAAGAGTATCTTGGAGTATGTTCATATAGATGTTGAGGTTGCCAAAGACAACATCATTTGGCCGATGACGATACTTTGTCTCTTTTGTTGATGATTACTCCATATATATTTTGATGTACACCGTGAGGCACAAGAGCGAGATACTGAGATTTTTAGAACTTGTAAGAAGTGGATTGAGACTGAAACTGACAAAAAGATTCTGTGTATCAGATCATATAATGAGGACAAATCACTTCAGATGCATTATTGTAGGAGTGACAGAAATGTATGATTGAGCATCACTTCATTGTTAGAGAGAATAAAGCAGACTATGGTGGAGAAAGCTTGATGTATGTTATCCAATGCTAGGTTGGATAGAATTTTTTGGGTTGAAGTGATAAAGTATGCATGTCACTTGATGAACTATTTGCCTTCTGCAACTATTAAGAAGAAGATCCCATAGAAGATGTGGTCATGATATCTTGTTAGAGATTATGAGTACTTGAGAGTGTTTATGTGTCTAGCCTATTATTATGTTCAGAATGATAAACTGGAATCAAGGGTAAAGAAGACGATCTTTATTGACTTCAGGGGTGAAGTCAAGGGATCCAAAATCTATTACAAATAGAAAAAAAAAAAGATTTTCATCAACAGGGGTGTTATTTTCAATGAGGCTAGCATGTTGAAACTTTGGGACTCTAAGTAGAGTTCCACTGGGTCCATATATGCATTACAAAAGTTGGAGTTTGATGCAATTCCATTTGCTTCATAAAGGTAGATCATTTCTACCTAGGTACCTGATTCAACTGTAGACCAGGAGGTGGAAGATAGTGATGATGATATTCCTGCTCATGAATATATTGCAAGGAACATGTCAAGCACTAAAATTCCCCAAAACCAACTTGGTTAAGGGATCACATTGCATTTGTACTTTCAACCACGAAGGTTAAAGTTCCTATTCACTATAACGAAGTGGGGGATAGTCCTGATGTGATATATGGAAGAGGGATATTGAGTGCAAATGGATGCGTGCAAAGAAAGAAGGATCTCATGGAACTGATGTATAATACAAGGCTAAGTTGGTGGCAAAATGCTCTGCGTAATAGAAAGAGATTGCTTATGATGAGGTGTTCTCCCTGTGGTTAAGAATCATCGACTCGTAGTTACTTGGCACTTGTAGAACAGTACAATTTGATTTTGGAGTAGCTCGATCCATATACTGCGCAAGCAGTTTTCATTGTGGGTAGGTTCATATATGATACATGAAGGAGTCATTGACAACATGTGAAGACTATCCTGAGATATTTGGAGGATACAAGTAATATAGGCACCATGATGTGGTGCATGACTCATGACTGATTATGTACTTGTTTGAAGAACTATACTTGGCTTGATCCCTTGGGAGAGGGGTATGTAGACAACCATATGGGTGCAGTCATTCTAATATTTGAGCATAGTTTATCATCTTTCACTTTTTGAAGTGAAAGATGAGATGGAGATTATTGATTTGGAATTATTTCCAAATTGAAACAAACTTTTATTTGAAAAGCTTTTAATGACTCATTATTGTAATTGATCAAGTAATATATTATTTTCCTAATTAAGTTGATTTTATTGAAGGTTTGATAGATGCATTAATTAGGAGATCTAATTATTGTATTAATTAGAGATTTGATTTGAGATTTGATTGATGCATTAATTAGGGGATCTAATTATTGCATTAGTTAGGGATTTGATTGAGATTTGATTAGGATTCGATTAGGAAGCCTTTTCCTAATTTACTTTGGTTCAAATCTATAAATAAAGTACTAGGGGCTATTATATTGTATGCATGAGATGAGAGGAAAAGAGAGTTTTAGCTCATTGTAATCCATATTGTTCTCTAATTTAGTGAAATCAACATCCCCTCATCGTGGACGTGGGCATCTTCGCTGAATCATGTAAATCGTCGTGTTTCTTGTTTTTGTTGTGTGAATTTTATTTATGCTATGACTATTTGCATAGCACCATCCTCCATAGTTGTTTGGCCCGCCTTCATAAATAGTAGTTGCTAGGGTTGGCTATTAGGCTTTACTCGCCAATTGGGACGAGTTCTTTCATTATTGTCACTTGATTATGACGAGTTCTCTAATAAACTAGTGATAAAGAGGATGAGTATAATGTGGCTTGAACAAAATATTATGAAGATTTAGATATACAAAATAATAAAAAAAAAGTTTATCAATCAATATTTAAATTTATTTTCCAATTTTAACATCTTTTAGTAAGACTAATTTTATATTTGTTTGGTCATATTTTTGACATGAAAAAAAACTGAAAAAAGTAAAAAAAAAAAAAACTGAAAAAAAAAAAAAAAAAAAAAAAAAAAAAACATTTAACCATGCAATAAGCATTTATAAAACATTAATTCAAATTTTACATCTAATAATATCTATACATTTTTATTATAATCAAAATAAAATAAAAAATTAATTAATTATTATTATTTATAAATAAATTAAACTATCATTTATTTATAAAAAAGTTAAATTATCATCTCATGTAAATATCTCAATTTGTAAATATCACGTTGTTCATCGGGTTGTCCCTATGAGCGCGGTGGTGTTGTGACTAAACCCTTGTGCTGCTAAATAGTGAGTGGGAGGGTTTCGTTCGTACTCTGGTTTCTAGGTCTCCCAGCGGCTCGACGAAGCTGCACACCGGAGCCTTCACATCTTGAAATCGCCTTTCCTTGGCTAGTAAGCTTCCGCACTTGCTGCTCTGCCATGGATGTGTTTCTCAAGCTTTTAAATTGTTTTTGGTGAATGAATCTTCGATATTACCTGTTGGGATTTCTTAAATTTTTAATTTTGTTTTCTTCATATTTTTATGTATTTTGCTTTTCTTCGTGGTAATGGATGCTTTGTTTTATTACAAAAGGGCGCTTAGCTGTGGGAGGGGCAAGGTATTTGGGGATTAGGAAGTTTCTTGAGTGCATAAATGTGGTTTCGAGTTGTCTCCTCGATCTGCTTGTATTTAATCATCATCATGGCCGTTTGGGTAGTTTTTTTCAATGAATCCATGCTTAAAGTACCTGAATGTGCACCAGAAGATTTGAGCGTTAGATTGTTGTTGTTTGGTTTTTTTCTTGATTTAACTCTACTTTTTTTATTTGTTTTGCTTGGCCATGGTTCCCTTGGATCTGGATCGAATGTGGTTGTAAGATTAGTTGGGCTAAATTTTAACTAGATGCTTGAAGGCTCAAAACAATAATCTAAAATATGAAATCTTGACTGATGACCAAAAAAAGAAGTTGTTTTATTCATGTTTGTTAAGGGCTTGTTATTTACCTTGAACGAACAGTTGACCGAAAATATCATTTGGTTTATTTTTTCAAAAGGTTACTAGTGATTTTTCAGTTACTTGGGTTGGATTTTGGAATCACAACAATTATTCTTTGGTAAGGTTTTAATTTTAATATCAAACTAGATAAATTTGATGAAATAACAACTTTGCTTGGTTGAAAATCACAAGCATCATAATATGGTAAAGTATATATATTTTTTGTTACAAGCACTAAATATAACTTGGAAAGTGGAAGGAGTACACTCCATGCTTTATTTCTTCCTTAAAACACGTTTGGCTATTGAAAAGCCCCTATGCATGCAGGTCCATTTCTCTTGCATTAAATAAACATTCAAAACTATGTTTTTATCCTTTTCCACCAAAAATAATGGCAAATAAGAGGAAAACCATCATTTCTACTTCACCATATGGAATTTTGCTTTGACGCATTATCACATAATTTTGGCATCCGAATGTTGGCCATTAAAAGAGAAGCATAATACTAAGTTTAGTGTTGCAGAGATGAGGATGCTCATGTGGTTGAGTGGCTTTACCCTTATAGATAGGATACAAAATGAGCATATACGTGAAAATTTTGAAGTAGCTCCAGTGGAAGATAAGATTAGAGAGAGTTGCTTTAGATGGTTTGGTCACATAAAACGGAGGCCTTCCGATGTCCCAGTTAGGATAGTTGAGGTATTAGATTTGACTTATGTTAAGAAAGATAGAGGTAGACCTTAAATGACTTGGTTAGAAAATATTAGAAATGATATTTCTTTATTAGATTTAAACGAGAATTTGACTTTTACAGGACATAATGGAGAAAAAGTATTCATGTAGCTGACCCCACGTAGTGGGACAAAGACTTGATATTGTTGTTGTTGTTGTTGTTGTTTTTGTTGCATTATCACATAATTTTAAATCTATTTAGTGACTAAGGAGAAGATTATAACACCTAGAATTAGCGGTTAGTAATAATCAATGCTATTCTAGAATTACTTTCAAACGAAAAATCTTAAACAATACAAAGGAAGAAAAAGGTTCTTTAGATTGTAAAAATTAAAGAGAAAGCGTGATAATAACCTAAATGATTTATAATGTGACCTTGTTTTGCTTTGAGATGCCGAATAATATACAAGAAGAAAAAAGTTGCTTTAGATTTATAAAAAGTTAAGAGAAGGCATGGTAATAACCTACATGATGTGCAATTTCGCCTTTTCTTACTTTGTAATGCTGGAATAATATAAAAATTGAGCAACATTCTTTCCTTCTTGTTATTGTCATACTTCCCCTTTGCTTGTCCTCCTAACGTTGCATAGGTTCATAGTTGTGATGTAGAAGTGTGTGGTTGATGCACACAATTTTTTTGGTTGCTAATTTTTATTTATAAGCATGAGGTTGACGCACAATTCCTTTGGTTCATAGTTGTGTTATAGAAGTGTGAAGTTGAGGTAAACAATTGCTTGAATGTTTTGTGTATAGCCCTTATGGAAGCCATAGAAAAAGTATAAACTTTCAAGGGAGACACTAGTAGAATAAAAAATGTAGCAAAATTTAAAACAAACATTGGGAACAACAATATGGCCAGAATTGTTGCAGTTTTGTGGGGAGGAACGAATATCACGTGTTGTCAGTGTTGCCACAGGGAGGGATAGAAGTACTGCAAGGTTAGCTAGGTCGTAGGGATGGTGGGCTTCGCATTTCAGGCTAAGTACTTGGGCTGACAATGTTGGTAATGCATCGCGTCACATTACATGTGTCGAGGGACAATACTTAGAAGGCCAGGATTGTCATCACATCACGCGTAGGGGCGGAAGGTCTCGCAAATTTGGTGATTGTGTTGCCTCTTGTCATACGTTGGTAGGGATGAAGGTCTTAGAAGGTTGATAATGATGTTCGTTTAGGGAGGGGCAGAGGTTTTGCGAGGTATTCACAATTACTCACATCGCATGCATCATTGTTTGAGATTTGAAAGTTTGACTTATAATTCAAGAAAAAAAGAAAGAATTGTCAATCTTGGAATTTCAGTTTTCAACATTTGCATGGTCTTCAATTTTTCTTGTCTTTCATAGATCAAAATGCTTTGATTTGGCTCCTCTTAATATGATCATTCCATTCGATAAAAAGTTTTAAATTTTAAATGGTGTTACTCGTTAAATTGATATGTTTTTCTTGCCTTTTGATCATTATGAACCATATCAACCTCTTGAATTTGATGATATACTTCCTTGATGATTGGTAAGGTTTTCCTTAACGTCGTCAAAACTCAATCATCTTCATGGGATCAGGATTCTGTCTAAATATCATGGAATAAATGGTTCAACTGCAATCAACATAGCCACGCAGTTAACTTTGGTTAGCTAGGATTCTGGTCCATCGATACAAAAATGGTGGCTGAATTTGATGGCAATGAATGCATCTTGCAATTACCATGGTAATAGAAAGAGTCCAAATCCTATCACGAAGGCTATCTTTGTTTTTCATCTATAGCTAAATCGTTTGTACACCACTCAAATTTCACTGCTGAATATTTTTATTTATTTTATCTTGAAAAATTTATTTCTTTCTCCAACAATTTTTTTTTTTCATTTTAAAATGTGATATTCTACTTACGTGTCTCCCTTGACAATATCATCTATCTTCACATTTTGTCTATTTTGAGATTTGGTTGTTTTATTCATCAAATTTGATGGCTTTGAACAACGTCCTAGAACATAACTCTTCCATCTTTCAATGCATCTATCATTAACGGTAAAACATTTTTTTCTCAATCTTTGAAATGTTTCTTCTAAACATCTTACTAGTGGGAGAAGAGATGAAGTGGAGGATTTGGTGTGGTTTAGGGGGATGGTTTCTTGACAAAGAAGACCGGTTAAGTTTATCTTGTAGGATTGTTGCAATCACTCATAGGAAGAAGAAAACCTTCGACCATTCTAGGATTTTGCCAATGACAGCTACAGTTCTATGATTTTAATCCTTTTTTCTTTATTAGATTTAAACGAGAATTTAACTTTTACAGGACATAATGGAGAAAAAGGATTCATGTAGCCGACCCCACATAGTGGGACAAAGACTTGATATTGTTGTTGTTGTTGTTGTTGTTGTTGTTGCATTATCACATAATTTTAAATCTATTTAGTGACTAAAGAGAAGATTATAGCACCTAGAATTAGCGGTTAGTAATAATCAATGTTATTCTACAATTACTTTCAAACGAAAAATCTTAAACAATACGAAGGAAGAAAAAGGTTCTTTAGATTGTAAAAATTAAAGAGAAAGCATGATAATAACCTAAATGATTTACAATGTGACCTTGTTTTGCTTTGAGATGCCAGGAATAATATACAAGAAGAAAAAAGTTACTTTAGATTTATAAAAAGTTAAGAGAAGGCATGGTAATAACCTACATGATGTGCAATTTTGCCTTTTTTTACTTTGAGATGCTGGGAATAATATAAAAATTGAGCAACATTCTTTCCTTCTTGTTATTGTCATACTTCCCCTTTGCTTGTCCTCTTAACGTTGCATAGGTTCATAGTTGTGATGTAGAAGTGTGTGGTTGATGCACACAATTTTTTGGGTTGCTAATTTTTATGTATAAGCATGAGGTTGACGTACACAATTCCTTTGGTTCATAGTTGTGTTATAGAAGTGTGAAGTTGAGGTAAGCAATTGCTTGAATGTTTTGTGTATAGCCCTTATGGAAGCCATAGAAAAAGTATAAACTTTCAATGGAGACCCTAGTAGAATAAAAAATGTAGCAAAATTTAAAACAAACATTGGGAACAACAATATGGCCAGAATTGTTGCAGTTTTGTGGGGAGGAACGAATATCATGTGTTGTTGGCGTTGCCACAGGGAGGGATAGAAGTACTGCAAGGTTAGCTAGGTCGTAGGGATGGCGGGCGTCGCATTTCAGGCTAAGTACTTGGGCTGACAATGTTGGTAATGCATCGTGTCACATTACATGTGTCGAGGGACAATACTCAGAAGGCCAGGATTGTCATCACATCACGCGTAGGGGCGGAAGGTCTCGCAAGTTTGGTGATTGTGTTGCCTCGTGTCATATGTTGGTAGGGATGAAGGTCTTAGAAGGTTGATAATGATGTTCGTTTAGGGAGGGGCAGAGGTTTTGCGAGGTTGGCGATGGCGTCACATCGCATGCATTATTGTTTGAGATTTGAAAGTTTGACTTATAATTCAAGAAAAAAAAAAGAATTGTCAATCTTGGAATTTCAGTTTTCAACATACATGGTGTTCAATTTTGCTTGTTTTTCATAGATCAACATGCTTTGATTTGGCCCCTCTTGATCATTCCATTGGATAAAAAGTTTAAAATTTTAAATGGTGTTACTCGTTAAATTGATATGTTTTTCTTGCCTTTTTATCATTATGAACCATATCAACCTATTGA